ATTTTCAGTCTTCTCACCTTAGAAGGCTGTTACAAGATTTAACATAATGGATTTAAAGTAGCATGTAACATGGGACCTGGCATACTAGGTAGGTCTTCAATAAATGTCAATGATACACATACACACGTTTTGCTCCTAAGACTCACAATTGCGACACATCTCCTTTCTACACAGTCCAGGTGCCGTGAACATACCCAGAACACACAGCTATTTTATCTACTGGTCCAGCTTACTTGCTTGATCTGCTCCCTCCTGATCCATTTCCATGAGTTTCTGTCAACACAGACGCTGCTTCACCTTGACATACAACCTCACTAGACTTTCATGTTGTTCACACATACACCAACGTTCTAATTTGGGATTTCTGCCCATCTTCCACAAACCCAATGAATTTCTATAAACAATTGTTCTCTGTTCATTGCTTCACTTCTCTGTTAAAACTTTCATTGGGTCCATAATGCCCAAAGTAGAGGTCTCCAATCTCATGATCACTAGATGACCAGGGCTTCCAGAAATGAAATCTCTAAGCTGGAAATAAGGCACAGGAGTATTTGCTAAAAGTACATGGGTATAGATAAATGGTGGGCTCCTCATACAATAATATTCTGTGAACCAGAGTTCTCTTAGCAAAGCCTAGACATGAGGGACATTATTTCATCACCAAGTTTTGCCTTGGCCGGGAGGAAGGTCCCACTTTGGGAATTTGCATGGCCCCAGGCATCCAAGTTGTATCCCTGTTCACATGATCGTGCAGAAGGATGTTCTGAAAAAGGAGAGGGCAATTCTCCTTAACAGCAGACACGTTGTTTTCGATTGGCAGCATCATTAGCTTGGGAGAACCACATCTCTGTGTGACCTGACAGAACTGTTCATTACAGCACCCCTATCAGCCTCCTCCTCCCCACCCAGTCACATAGTGTTAGGCACGTGATCCAGTCTAAGATTATCATAGTAGCACACTGCTGGACATAGAGACTGATTCAATGAACACCGAAGCAGAGATACTCAAGTCCCTTCCAGAAAACTTCTATAAAGGGGACCTAGAAGAGGAAAGACCTCTCTTTCTTATGATTCAAAAGCCCAGGAATGTAGGCTTAGAAATACGGACATCTTTCTCAGCATGTGGAAAAGGGCCTCAAAGTGAAGCTAACTCTGAGAGAAGAGATGCTGAGAAGTGGAGGGAGAGAGAAAAAACCCTGACATAGTCATGTGTCTCTGGGATCCGGTTATGACTGAAGCAGAGTCCACTTTTGGACTTTCCAGTCACATGAGCCAATAAATCTTACCTTTTTGCTTAACCTAGTTAGATATAGGGTCCTCACTTGTATGAACAGATGAATCCCAACAAACTCCCTTCCAAAGGAACCCAGGGTGTGGTGGTGAGGGACGGGCTTGTCCCCCTTGGTACACTTAAAGCTTGAGGCAGATGACAAGGATACTACAGGAAGGAATGTACAGATTCACATCTCCTCACCTTGCTCACATTCCCATGACTTCTGTGTAATTTTACCTCCAGTGACATAGTTTCCAAAGAACAATGGCTACTGGAACACATCCCATTAATTCACAGAACAATAGCCCAAGAATCCCCACCTTTGTGTGAGAATTTTCTTTTACCAGTTGCACTGAATGCTCTTACCAATGACTACAATAATCGAATTTTTTTTTTTGCTGGGGAGTGGGGAGGGAGGTGAGGTGAAAGAAAATACAGAACAGGAGTCATCAGACTAAACATCAACAATCAGAATTCAAGACATTTCAGGAGGTCTCGATATCATAATTGGAAATTCTTATCTTCCAGAACATAACCTAAATTTTTACTCAGAAATTTGAACCTCCACTAAAACCTGAAGCCAACCTTACTTCTCTCCCATTTACCCAGAGTTTACAAAGCATGTTCTATCTAGCCTCTCCTAGCTCTATAAATTCTGCAAAAAGGCAATGGAGCATACTGGTGCAAGTGTGCTCTGCAGCATTAGTCTTGGTTTTATCACCTTTCTGCTCTAATTACTTCTTGGAGTTGTTATGAAAACCAATTGCCATTATTTGCGAAAATTCACTGAAACCTATCAAGTGCTAAGTGAATGTTGATATTTGTTGTATTGTATATTGTGAATTCAGACAATCAATGATGGGCCAGAGGCCCAGATCAGATCTACTTACCTCCTATTGCCAGCATATTACTCTCTCCCTATGTCTATCATGGACTCCAGCCCGTCATCCCCCAACCCAGACTCTACTAACATCTACCCATTACATTCTGATTTCTCCTTTAATTCCTCTAGGACTCAATATGTAG